CTAGGAAGCATTTCCTGAGATTACAGAGAAGCTGTGATCCAAAGGTGGCCAAGGTTGCATTTTGTGCTGGCAGCTGAACTTGGTAGTGTTAAGAGTAACCCAGATGGTGCTGGTTTTGAAGGTTCGAAGAGGTCATGGAGAACAGCTGAGGGGCACCGAAGTGGCAGGGTTGGAGACTCTTGATGAGAGCCAAGGAGAAGCTACTGGTGAAAAGTGTAGCCCAGAAGACCACATCACTTTTGAGATGCCAGTATCATGGGATGACCATCAAGAACAGACGCAGTAGAAGCGGAGCCAGCCTGAGTCTAGAAGAGAAGCTGTGTGTGCTACAGACAGCCTGAGTCTAAAAGAGAAGCTGTGTGTGCTACAGACAGCAGAGCCAAAGAAGTAACCCAAGCCCCTTGGGAGAGCTCAGAAGATCGTGAGTGAATCCTACACAATTGGACATTGAGTTATTTACATTTTTGGAGTTTGGTTTTGTTTTGTTCAGACTGGAACTATCTCCTGATTCTTTCCCCTTGAAGTAAGAAAGTTATTTATTTATTTATTTATTTAAAACAGAAACCCACAGTTGAGAGACTGAATTTTAAGACTTTGGATTTTAAAGAAACTGATTTTTAAAAAAATATTTACTTGTATATTATGTATACAGTATGCCCAAAGGGGACACCAGATCTCATTGTGGGTTGCTGGGAATTGAACTCAGGACCTCTGGAAGAGCAGCCAGTGCTCTTAACCTCTGAGCCATCTCTCCAGCCCCAGAAACTGAATTTTTAAGTGTCAGAATTTTTAAAGACTGTGACTTTTAAAATTTGGAAAGTTTATGTTGTAATGTTGATATTCATATGTTATCTTGGGGAAGAACAGAAAAGGACAGGTTATGACTTAACAATGCATTTGTGTGTCACGTTGACAAGGGGTCAATTGTGCTGGCTAGTTTTATATCAACTTGATGCAAACTAGAGTTATTTGAATAGAGGTTATTTCAATTAAGAAACTGCCTCCATAAGATCTAGCCATTAAGTCATTTTTTAAAATTAGTTACTGATGTGGAAGAGTTCAGCCCATTGTGGGTGGTGCCAACCTTGGGCAGGTGGCCCTGGGTCTTATGAGAAAGCAGGCTGAGCAAGCCGTGATGAGTAAGCCAGTAAGCAGCACCCCTCCATGGCCTCTGAATCAGCATCTGCCTCCAGGTTACTGCTGGGTTTGAGTTCCTGTCCTGGCTCCCTTCAGTGATGGACTGCAATGTGGAAGTGTAAGCCAAATAAACCCTTTCCTCCCCAACTTGCTTTTGGTCATGGTGTTTCATCACAGCAGTAGTAACCATAACTAAGGCAGTTAGGGAGTATACAAGAAGCATTTTCTCATTTCTTGAAATTTTCTGTAAAGCTAAGTGTGCTTAAAAAATAGTCTATTAAAAATCAACTCTATTAATTAAAAACATCTTAAGACTGTTGGGAAGAGGAAAAAAAAGACATTTTCACCTGAGCATACAAAGAAATTATTCCATACTGTATAGTAATATGAATTAAACTACCATTTAATATACTAGTTTATCACAGCAGATTTTTAACTGGAATAATATACACAATAAAACACCAGGAAAGAAATGAAAATTATTTCTATTTCAGAACTTGAGGAGACCTTAGAGATGGATGGATGGATGGGTTTAGGTATACATAGAAATGAACCAGTTGTAAATATCAAATACTCCCCATGCCTCTGAGAAGGGGAAACTTTTCAGATTCTACCTGAACAAGAATGAATGCTGTAAAGTATGTATGTGGGAGAAAACCAACTCAGCAATAGAAATGTTGCTGAAAGTTTAGTTTATGTTAATGCATTGGAGTATATTCATGTTACTATATACATCTGCTTCCAGATGGTTTGATCTGGCCAGCGCTAAGATCATGGATTACTTAGCGTTCCTGAAGCTATTTCTTAGGTACATAAATGGCCCACCTTTCCAGCTGTTATAAAACTCAATACAGGATAAAACTCAATATCAAAACATCTGGAGATCCTGGAGATCCTGGAGATCACCAGGGCAAACTACTAAACTTCCATTGGTGTTTGTGTACTAATATGTAAAGTGGAGACAACAGTGACATATATATGTTGAGCTTCCCTAATCTGAAAATATGAAACCCAGGGCACTCAAAATCCTGATAACTTTCTGAATGTCAACATGATGGCACACATGGACAATTCTTTGGGCAATGGGTTACAATCAAAATGATGGTACACTATAAAATACTACATAAAGTTATCTTTGGGCTTTGTAATACAGTGTATATGTGGAGTAAAAATCTCATTATATATGTGTAAATAATCTGAGAAGAGCAGTAATTCAGATTACTTTTGGAACTGGCAGTGCCTACCTCACAAACTAATTGAAACACTATGCAATTCTCTTGGGCTAGGCATGCAAGTGCTGACTGTTCTTAGCCCTGATGAACTGATTTCAGGAGACCACAACTTCATTTTCAGGATCATTTATCATGATACTCTAGGCTGATGGCAGTGTGAACACACATCTTAGGTGATGGTTCTGCCAGTCCAGGAGAATCACATGCTTACATGTCCCTCACCCCCAACCCCTCCAGGGAACTGTTGATGCAGTGAAGCTAGAAGCCATATCTTAGCCTTCTCTGTTAGCAAACTAACTTAAGAAAGCATCTGATTTTCTTCTCACTGAGTTTTCCTTTCAGCTAAAGTGCATACTATTGAACAGAAAACTTCTAAAAAGAACTCAATCAAAAGATTAAACTGGGTTAAGTTTTGATCTGCAATGCTTTAGCCTAATACTATTACTATACATTGACTTTCAAAAACATTTGTGTCCTTAAAGTATGTCCTTGGCAAGAACTTGACTATTCCGGAACTTGAAGCTAGACCACCATAATGTTAAAAGCAAACTCATTTTTCTTTTTTTTTTTGGTGGTGGTGGTGGGGTTCAGACTAAAACTGAACTGCAGTTGAGATGCACTACATTTTTAGTTGATGAAATTACTAATTCACAATACAACAGGCTCAGACAGCAGCTCAAATCTTCACTTCTAGCTTTGAGGGGCTTCAGTGAATGCAAGATGGGTTACTATATCATGACCTTAAAGTTATTTAATCAAGATAGCAAATGAGATTTTATGATATTCTAAGAAGCAATGAAGTTTCAATTTTCATGTAAACTACCTGAAATAAACACAAACAGGAAGCAAACCAGAAAAAATGCCCCAAAGTACAGAGGAATGGCTCTTAAATAGGCAGTTTTTTTTCCTAAGTTTCATTTTAGGCAACAGATAAGTATTTAACTCAATTATTCTCTATTGAAACTATTAAAATGGTTTCACTATTGCTATCAGGATGTAATTTCAGATCTATTCAGTTTTGAGAAATTGACTGATTGACTGATGCTCACATCACAACCCTGATGTATTTTTAATGATGCTCTAGGCACAATTCGATGCATCTGTTGACTAGAACTAGTAGCTGGACTCGGGGAATTTAGTGAATAGTGTAAACTGAGAGATGCCAAATTAATTTCTTAGAGAGGCTCCTGGAAATCTCTGAAATCACTGAGGCTTGGTGATTGAAAGCTTTTCTCCTCTCATTGTTTAATGGTGACACAATTTAGGTCAGAAATATTCTCTTCAGAACACGAGATTCCCAGAATTATAAAACCAGGCACCCTCTCAAGGTGACCCAATGTGATGTCATTCTCTGAGGATGAACACAGAGGCTCTGGATCCTCAGGGGACCCAGGGTCTGGAAGTCCCTGCTCTTGATTCAGACAGACTTAAATTCTCGCCTGGGTTGTCAAGTTATTCCCCGTGTGACCTTGGAAGAGTTATTTAACTTCTCTAAACTTCAGCTTCTTCATTTGTAAGTGGTGACAAGACAAGCGCAGCAGGACACACTGTCATCACTCGGTAAACATTATCAGCTATCATTTACCCTGAATAAAAGGACTCTGAGGCAAGAAAGCAGTGATAGATTATCTAGGACCAAAATGTGTTGGTGCTGCATCAAGAGTAAGCCTACTATTTTGTCATTGTGCTATCTGTTTGATCAAGATATTAGATTAGTGATTGTATATCAAGCTCTTATTTTCATGGAAATTCACATATATGTGGTTCCAATTAACACTACACAAGTCACATCTATCTTTAAAACTGCTTTAGCTCAATCACGTGATCTTCATTATTTAAGCTCCTAACTGTTCACTCATACGAAATTAATGATGACATGCTGGTCACAGATAAGAGCAAGGGCCATTTCTCATAGCATCTGAGATTTGATTTTGAGTATTTGCCCAATAGTCTTAATTTTTTAGTGTCAGATATTTCCACGTTATCCACATGTCAGCTCTGCAGGAAGCCAGAATGGGAGTCCTAGGGAAGAAAAAGTGCAATGTACTTTGCTGAAAATTCAGGGTTCTAGAAGCTACTGACCATGGACACTCATGGTTGCATTTCTGCCAATGTTCACTGCCCTTAAATGTTCTACACCATTCAGAGTCAAATGTTCTTACATTTAAATAAAACCAAGAACAATTAAGAAGAATCCACACAAAGTTAGCTTTACATAATGTGCTCCTGGTACCTCTGCTTTTGATGGTTTTTGATTCATTAGTAGGCTTTTCAGTGAGCGTTCTCAGACTGTCAAATTGGTTCCTAAAACGTTTTCTTGAAACAGACTAAAGATTACCCCTCCCCCCAATCTGGAGAAGGATCAGTGTTTGTACAGTTAACTTTCACTCTTTAAAAATAATCAAAAGCAGATGTAATATGTTCTAAATATAGCAGAGAGACATTATCATAAACTACAGCCAGATAAGCCCAAGTATAAACATCAACAGAGCCAAAACACCTTTTTATGTAACACCAATGAGATCAACAGACCAACTGATGAAGAAAATAGTAATCTGAAAGGTGGCAATTTGCATGCACACCCGGTACTTAGTGTTTCAGCTACTAAAATCAAACGGTTTGGAAACTCACCCGCATCTTTGCACAAGCATCTTGTGTTGACTCTGTCCCCCTAAGCTCTTTTATCAGCATGGAACCTAAATACTAAAACACACAAAAGATTTGGAATGACATATTAAGACGAGAGTGTAAATATGAGTAATGACTTGAAAACAAACTGTGGGAAGGCTACTGGCTAGGTTTCTTGGCTGTGAGTTGTTGATGACTTTAAAACAACTAGCAGTAACTGATCCTTACAGATGGAGATCCCACAGCAAAGTTAGCCATGAACTGATCTTTATAAAAGTTACGGCATTTTCTAAAGATGTTAACTTTCAAATCATATTTAACTGCAAAATGGGGGTATCTAAAAATGTTTTCCCCATTTTTTTGAGGCAGCAATGTCTGCAAAAATAAATCACAGCACTATCAGTGTAATTGCAGGGTTGGATACGACAGCTGAGGAGCGAGGCAGCATGGCCCCTGTTTGGGCTTATTCTGCAGCATAGGTAATTAAAATGGGGCTGTTATGAGGCTGAGATGCAGTTTTGGACATTATTTTATCCACAGCTGTGTGCTCAGGGCTTCATCCACCTGAGAATGCATACATTCTCATTGGATAGGGGAGCAGCTGACTTCCTGGTGCAGAGTGACACACGAGGAGCTGGATGGGGCAAAGGAAAACCTCCCCAGGATGATATGCCATGTTGCTGCTCTGTGATTGAATCATGCACTCCTGCTATTTATCCCCACTCATTCTCTTGCTTCTGAGAGGGCAAATAATTTTTAAGCAAAATGTCTTTGCTGTCTGTCTCTCTCCAGCCCCCTACATTTAAAATAAAATCAATTCACTTATCAACTCTTTGAAACTCTAGCTGGCTCATTTATTTTACCTCTCTTCAATAACTTTAAAAATACTTTCACATGCATTTTGAAGTCTGAACTAAAATAAGGATTGTAGAAGAGATTGGAAGACAGTGTCTGCTCATATGGAGGCACCATACAGATGCAGGCACTTCATTCAGTCCTGAGGATCAGGAGAGCACAGGTTTACTGAGAATGTGCAAGGCAAGTGGCCAAGGCTCTGTCTAGGCCCTAGACCAAGGGCCTTGTTGAGAAAACCCAAGAGAAGCTTGGTTTGAGCTTTGGAAGAAGCCATAAGCCACAAGAGAGGGCAGCACAGTGAAACATGCCCAAAGTGGGAGGTGATTACCAGAAAGAGTCTTCATTGTTAAGGAAGCCAAATTCTTATCTTTTACAGTTTTAGGAAAGTTTGCCCTAATTGAAACATTTCTTTTAAGGACAGTCTGTTTCAAGGTTCAGTCACCTTTTTCCCTACTGCACTCATGACAACCATCACCTGTTCCAAGGCCTACAGGGCTTGCTGAACATTCACTGTTCACAATTCTTGGGTAAGCACAATATTTCTTTCACTCCATAAAAAGCAAAAGAAAGAAACAAAACAAAACAAAGCAACAAAACACCAACCAATCAACCAACCAACTAATAAAACCAAACCAAACCCAACCCAACCCAACCCAACCCAACCCAACCCAACCCAGTACTGGAGCCCCACTGTTGATGACAATGGAAAGAATCTTGCGTTTGTATAAAGTAGCAGAGCCGACCTGCTGGGGTCTGCTGCACTTGCATGCACTCACTTCCTTTGACTTTACCTATTATTTATGGAGCTGTGGATAGAACCCAGGGCCTCTGAGAATACTAGGCAAGCATTCTATTTAAAATTGGGCTTCATCACATGGTTTTTGTAATACACATCTTTATACATAGAGGCACAGAACAAAACTTGTGCTAACCAGATTTAAAGGGTTCCAATGCTCTAATTCCGTGGACAATAATTTCCAGGAAAAAAGGAAGGGAAAAGAAACCCTTTAGAAATGTCAGTGATGGACAGTCTGGTCCATTTTTCAACGAATGAAAACTAGCCAGAAAACACATCCTCTATCCCCATTGTGTCCCCTACTGAGTCTAAGGTCACTTACAAAAGCTTTGTAGTCACATGACTGGAAGATGAGCTTCTCTGGGTGATGCTGCCAGTACTGGACTGGAGTTGAGGCTGTGGCTTCATTTGGAGGTCGCAAGGTGATGGAAGGTTCTCCCCAGTCCCCTGTCTGGAAATAACATTTATTTTAGAGGTAGTATAAGCAGTAAGCAGGTTCGTTCTCTCTAAGTTGTCTCGGTTTACCTAACACACCTGAGCTGCAAATGCACAATGCATTTGGGTGTATTATGTGTGCATAAACATTTATTTTGTTTCTATATGAATTTGATAGCATTGTATTTCCTAACGCTGAGTACATAGAAGTCAAAATTATTCTGTTTTCAGAATGAAACTCTAGGATAACTAATTTTAAAAACAAAATATGAAAGTAAGCAATTTACCAATAATGAAAGTATGTTTGAATTTAAAAAAAAATGACTGAAAATTTCAGTTTGAATTCCTTTTACCTCAGAATACTTAGTTTCATTAACTTCAGTTCCCAACTATGACATTATCATGTACTATGAAAAAATTTATATCTGTAGAGAAAAGTTTTGCAGGTAAGATACTAAACAAATGCTAAAATAAAAATTTATTAATGGGTAACAGCTAATTTCCCTCATTGTAACTCAACTGCATAGATGCACTGTTTCTTGGATGTACTTAGTTGCCTTCTGCAGCACTACACTAGTCCACACTCTGGGATGCAGTTCTTCTCATATGAATATGTGTATGTATGTGAGACTCCTGATCCACAAGCATGTCACATATGACGGTTACTCACATGCCCATTAAGACTGATCTAAAACAGGCCATTACATCATCTCATTTGTTGCTTCCATTTGTTTAATATGAATGAACTTTTATATAGTCAAAACTCTATCCTGGCAGGTCTTTTCTTGGCTCTAATATGATTGACATGCCACAGGCAGAGTCCATTTTATTCTTTCCCATGCTAAGGTTTCTGGTTTCTCAAAATTCAGTTCTTTGTTCTCAAGAGGATCCATCTAAAACTAAGCTAGAAAAATGTCCTCAAAGTTCCTCTCTTCTAACCCAAACTTGGTTGGTCTTACAGAATTATGAGAAATTGTTTTTCCTAGGTTTTGGAAGCCTATAACAAGGCCTCATGAGTTCCCAAATCAAATAAAGCTTGGCTGGGGACCAAGTTTCTTGGAGTACTAGCAAAAGGGCTGACACACTGTGGGATTTCTTAGGAACATTTTCAAGGAATCCACACACCCTCAGATGCACATTTTTGGAGAAAAAGGCAGTGCATAGTTTTCCCTAGATCCCTTGAGAGACTGTAGTAATCCCAAAGGCTAGAAGCTTAAGCCTCCAGGAAAGACTCAAGATCTGTGAGCGCCATGTTCTCCATGTACTTTAGAATTCTGTTAGGTGGGATAGAGGCAGCTGCCAAAGACAGAAAGTACAAGGCAAAGGCCCTGCCTTCTGGAAATTTCTAACTGGCTTTGAAAAGCAGGAAGAAAAATTCTGAGTCCTGTAGAAATGCACAGGCCTTTTCATAACAGTGTACCTGGGGCATTTCTTTTGTACACAGATCGCCTGGCATCACAGACGCCTTGTTAACATGCCCACCCCTTGGCTTCTCATGGGAGCATGTGTCTAATGAGAACTCCTTATGCCCTTGCTCTGTTCTCAGCCACTGTCTGTATTTGTCTCATTCTAGTTGTTGGTTTGTTTGCGTGTTGATTGATCCACCTAGTCTCTGATATTTTAACACACATTATTTACAATATATCATGGCATTTAAAACCTGTAATATTAACAGAAACGGTTTTTTACTGACTGTATGGCCTATCCCTGGCTCATTATTGAAATTTCTTTTTATATGGACTATTTGTAAAAATAATAACTGATTGCAATTAATTTCAGGATTAAGCTTTTCTCTGATTTTATATTTTGACATTTTCTTTTCCTTATTTCTCAAATGTCTGGCTTTTCATTATTTCTCTAGTCTTTATACAGCTGGTTACGCCTTGCCCTTAAAAACACGCATAGAGATGTCAACATGAAGGCTCTGTGGAATTCACTAGTGTCATAAAGCTGAGTATAAGGAACTTTGTAACTCTGGGAACACAGCAGACATGAGTTCTTTCTTCAAAGGTCTTCCCAAATCTAGCAAACAACCCTCAAGTGTCCCGTTCATTATTCTTCTCTCCTTCCCACCCTCCCTTGAAAAAGCAGTGACAACACAGCAAACAGGCATCGTACGTGGAAGTCACAGGTGACGCCGTTAACAGAACAACAAGAAGTTTGCACGCAACTCTGTGGAATGATACAAAAGGAAGATTTGGGTGACATCAAAAGATCCTTTGGACCAGTGTCTGCTGACGTGACAATCAGCCAAGCAACACATCTTCCACACTAACCCTATTGTAGTTAGCTGAGGTGTACCTCGGCAGAGCTTAACAGGCAGGAGCTGGGGGCACTGAGGGTTGTAGGGGAAGGTTTGGGGATAGAGCTGGGCAGGAGTGGGTGCAGTTAAGCAGGGAAGTGGGGATGTTTCACAGGTTAGTGCACTAGGCATGCAAACCATGTACAGACTGATTCTTTCACTGTTGGTGAGGTCACACACCTTCCTGATGAAGCTTGAATATGGCTCTAACAAGTTAAAGCAGAGCTGGGAGCCAAACACTAATCCAATGTTTACATCATCCATAGAAGCTGTAACAGCCATTTTGGGAATAACAAACCGAAGCAGCACATACTCTCTGTTTGTAATAATCAAGATCACTTATTTCATATGCTTTTGAAGAAATTAGTGGCAGATCCACTTAACTGTTTAGACAGTGCCATCGACTGCTCTCCTATGCCTCCATCTGGTCCAAGAGTCACAGACCACCTGCTCTGAATCCAGAATGATCTGATAGGACCTCCCCTAGCAGCTACGGGGGAAGAAAATTATAGGGGAGGGAAATATAATCCTTACTTTATTTTCCTTGTAGTCTTGAACTGTTGCCCCAGTCCAAATACTTTGAAATTCCCCACATGGATCAAATTGGCCTTTCTGGAAACAGACTCCAAGTTTTGTCATGCTTAGTGCTATTTCCAGAAATGTGTTTCCAGAAAGAAAAGGTCTTCGGAATGAATGTATAGGAAAATAATATTTTCTTCCTGGAAATTCAACTTCTTCTCTCTTAAAAAACAAACAAACAAACAAACAAACAAAAACAACAAAACCTCTAATCTATGATCTATGACTCTTTAGACGATATACTCAGTGTCTTTTCTTTAGAGTCAATGTGAATGGAAGGACTCCAAATGGGTTTAGGTCACACTCTAGTGAAAAATGGGAAGGACAGTGGCCTTGGGCTGGGATTCAGCCGTGCTAGGTGGTTGCCAGGAAAAGACAAAAGAGTTCAGGGAACAAGGGGGCCTTAGGTCTCAGTCTTCCTGGAGGTAGAATTAAAGCAGGAGTGAGCCTGGGAGGAGCTGGCCTGAGTAGCAGCGGAAAAACATTGAAAAATAAATAATTTTTACCTTCATAATTTTGAAATTGTATAAAATAATTTCAGCCATGAAGCCTTGGGTTAGCTCTTGAAGAGCCAGCTATACATCCATACATAATACAATACCTGCATTTCTTCTGGCAAGTGTTTTAAATTAAATCTAATAATTTTTCAGTTTAAAATTCTATTAAAATTAACAAAAGTCAAACAGACCTAAGAGAAGTCTTTTGCCTCAAACAATGGCTATAATAAAAACTCTTCTTTAATGAGAAATAGTCTAACCTTAGAAACAATGATGCAATAATAGTTAATTAGAATAAAAATGAAGTAGGAAAAGTTTGGTGTAGATGTTTGTCATATTTAAATCTGTTACTGACATAGTGATCTTTAGAGAACTTCGTCAAGTAATTACAGAAGTTAAATTGAGAAAAATAACTTTTAATAAATGTCTTCAGGCTCTTTCTTTAGCACTTAGAATACTTAGAGAAAGCTCTTTAGGTTAATGACATTAATATACTAAGAATATGGTCATGGCTTAAAACTTCATTTATTTGGTATTTGCTATGTGTTATAATATATAATATATATATATATATATTATATATCTTAAGGTTTTTTATGTCTCATTTTTAAATAAATACAATGGAGGACATTCAAGAAACAGGAGAAAATACACATCATTGATTAAAATTTTAAACTAAAAATCCAGCCTTCTAACATTATGGAAAAATATAATTTGATATT